GCTTTGGTGAGGCCACAGCTGGAGTGCTGCGTCCAGTTCTGGACTCCACAATTCAAAAAGGATTTAGAGAAACTTGAGAGAGTGCAGAGGAGAGCCATGCACATGATCAGAGGTCAGGAAAACAGACCTTATGATGAGAGGCTGAAAGCCATGGGACTCTTCAGCCTAGAAAAGCGCAGGCTCAGGAGTGATCTGATGGCCACCTATAAGTTTATCAGGGGTGCTCATCAGGATCTGGGGGAAAGTCTGTTCACCAGAGCACCCCAAGGGATGATAAGATCAAATGGTCACAAACTCCGCTGCAACCAATTCAGGCTGGACATAAGGAAGAACTTCTTTACTGTCTGAGCCCCCAAGGTTTGGAATAGACTGCCACTGGAGGCAGTTCAAGCACCCACTCTGAATGCCTTCAAGACACATTTGGATGCTTATCTTGCTGGGATCCTATGATCCCTGCTGATTTCCTGCTCATGGGGCAGGGGACTGGACTTGATGATCCTCTGGGGTCCCTTCCAGCCCAAATGTCTATGAAATCTATAAAATAGAGCCCCTGCCCCTCTCAACTAACAGAGCCCCTCCACTACCCTCCAACAATAAAAAACCTGATCCCCCATGTCAAAACTATGTACAACAGTTTCAGTCTCTGTTTGCAAGTCCCAGAGTCTTGGGGAAGCCGTGGGGTGGGGCCATCAAGGGGACAGGCACGTGGCACTACAGCCTCTCACCAGTCCCTCATGAATCAAGGGGGCCACAGTGACCACAGCAGGCAGGGAGCTTGTCTCTGGGTGATGGGGGCCAGGGCTTCTCTGGGGCAGGCCGCTCCAACTCCAGCTGCCCAAGTCCAGGGCCAACAGGGCCAGCACCCCATTCTTGTGGGTGCCACTCCTAGCACCTTCAGCTCAATGCCCATGTGGAGCCAGGACAAACAGTGAGCCTGGGCCCAGGCAGGTGGCAGCAGACTCAGGGCTCCTGAGGGTGAGAGTCGCTGGAGGAATTCCTCCCAGCCCCAGGCAGGGGCCTGCTGTGGAGCAGTGGGTGAGTACCAGGGGCCCTTCAGGGCCACAGACAGGGACTGAGCAGTGGGAGGCACAAACGCAAACGCCAGGCCCAGGAGGGTGTCCAGGGTCCAGTGGTCATCATCTGTGTCCTCCACTACCCAGGCCTGGATGGCCACTTGCTGCCTGAGCAGCTGGATCTGTTCCTGCTCCAGGGCCAGGAGATCAGTTCAGAACTCCCACTCCGCCTGGTCCCATGTATCCTCCTGGGTGGCCTCCCAGGTAATATCCTCCTCCTGCTAGGACTGTGCCTACACCTCCCACTCCTTAGCCACCTCCACCAGCCGCTGGAGCAGGAGGGTCCAATCTTGTGTGTGTCACTGGCGCAGCTGGTGCATGCAGAGGGCTCCAGAGCCATGTGATGGCAACCTGGAGTCCACATCCCTGCTTGGGCTGGTGGCCTCTCCCCCACATCCAGATGCTGCCCCTGCAAAGACAAAAGACAGCAGCCTTTAGTGAGTTTGCAACATTTCAGAGAGAAGATGCTCTGCACCAGAGGCCATGTGCTGCCCAGCCTGAGATTCATGGGACCATGGTATGTCCCACTGGGCAGACCCAGGCACAGGTGACCACCAGCTGAGCCCCCCGTTCCTGCTTTCTCCCCTGGGACTGGCGGGCCACCGAATGCCTGCTTCCCCCACCTCCTTCTCAGGACAGCACAGGTCAGCTGCTGCCATAGCTCCAGACCCTGCTTCCACACTCTTCCCTTGCAGGCCAACTGCTCTGCTGCACTGCCACCCAGCCCAGGGCTCCTGGGCTCAGGGCACGTAGTGCTCCTTGACAATTGGGGTAAGAAGCTGGTTGTACCCACACACTCCCCACTAAGGGCCGGGCTCCACTCCCTGCACCACCAGTGTCCCTGAGTGTGCCCCTACTGTATGTACCCTGGGTGGTGTGCAATGCGCTGTTTGTGCAGGCTCAGGGGGATCTGACCCACTATGCCCTGGTGCTGCTGATCCTCCTGGTGCCCCCAGTGCACCTGGTTTGGAACCCTGAGCTATGACAGCATGGGAGGCAAGCCTGGGCTGCCCTGCAACCTCCGCCATTTCCTAGAGGGCTAGCCGTGGCAGTGCTACATGTCCCTGCCCCCCACTATCAAGGAGGACATCACTACCAGCATTGGCACCTTTCTCGGCATGAGAGGCCTGTGCCCACCCAGCTGTGGGAATGCAGGCTGATGAATAAGGTTTTGAATGGTGTCCTGCCTCTCTGCATGCTGGTTGGGGGGAACCCAAGGCCAGGTGAGTGTGAGTGGGCTGGGTGAGGAGGGGCATCAGAGGCAAGAGCAGGGGTAGGGACTGGGGGGCCAGGGACAAGGGCAGGGGCCAGGGTGGGGACTGGGGATTGGAGGGCCCTCCCCCCAGTGTGGGACTTACCCCATGGCCAAGGTTGGCATGGCTGGTGGCTCAGCATGAGCCTCTCCATTGGTGATGGCATCCAGCTGCATCCAGTGTCTGCAGCCCGCGGTGTGCTGGAGGCTGGTGCTCAACCAGGGCCGCCCCCCGGGGATGAGCTGGTGCTGCTAGCAGCGACATGTCCAGCTGCTGCCTTGGTCCCTGCACAGCCCAAGACCCTACCACAAGGAGCAGCTGGCTAGGGCTCCCTGAGCTGCTAGTGGATATAGAAGCTAGGTAACTGGGAAGCACCTAAGGGCCCTTCCTCTGGTGATCTGTCGCTGGAGGGATCAGGGTGGGGTGGAGCCTCAGGCAGGCCACCTCTGCTGGTGAAAACTGCAGGGTTGCGGCCTGGGTCCTGGGGTACCAAAATGTTGGTCAGCTGCCACATAAAGGGCATGGTCTTAGGGGCATGACCGGACCAATGACTGTAGTCAGTCACAGCCACCCACTGTGTCCACAAAGCCTGATATTTATGCAGGACTGCCACACCAATTGGGAGTGCCTGCGCTGCCACATCCCACCTGACAAGGCCTCATAAACGTGGGTATTTGAACACCCACCCCACGCAAAGTGCCTCTGGACCTCTGCATCACCCCAGAGCACTACGAGGTCTCCAATCTCTTCCTGGCTCCAGCTGGGGCCCCAGGTGGATGGCATGAGCATGCACGAGTGGGAGGGACCAGGCCTCGATGAGGAAGATGCAGAAGACATTGTGCATCCTGTGCCAACTCTCTGGGCCTCCACGCAGTTGCTCCTGTGTTGCCAGCCCTGGGCAGCTGCCAACAGTGCCCAGAACAGGGGTACAGCCAGAGACTGAGAGCCACATGGCTGAGGCTATACCCCATAGCATCTGCAGTGCCAGGGCAGGCTGCTGGGGGTGAGCAGCAGGAAGCTGGTGCAGAGGCAGCCATCAAGCAGCCCCGAGGAGCTATTAGGGCTGGCCACAGGGTGCAGCAGGCTTTTTCAGCACCCATCTGGCCTGACAGGAGTGCCCTGGCACCTGTGTGGCCTGGAAGCAGTTCTGGCTTCCAGCCAATACAGGCTAGAAGCCTGTGTCCTGTCCAGGGGGGCACATGGGACTGGCAGTGCTCCTGTAGAGTGCACAGGCTCCTTTAGAGTCCTGGTGTGTGTACCTCAGGGCACAAAAAGGCTGTAGGTTTTTATAGCCTGCATCTAGGAGCTGCCACAGAGGCAGCCCAGCCCTAGGGCAGGAGAGGCTTCCAGCCAGGAGCCCTAGGGCTGGGCTCAGGCAGACCCTCTAGTGGCAAGGCAGACCTGGCACTAAACTTAGTGCCAGGTCATGTCTACACATACATTACTGTGTATTAACTAATCACAACTAAATTTGATACTTGTATTTGGAGGTATCAAATTTAGTCACAACTACCCATTTTTACAGTGCAGTAAGAGCCTGCATGGTAAATTAAACTAATGAGCATTAACACATGTCATGTAGACGCACCCATTGAGTACTTCAGACTTTTCTGCATCCTGTCACTAGGCTGCCTCCCCCATTCAGTAAGGAACCCATACTTTCCCTGATCCTCCACTTGTTACTGACATACTTATATAAATCCTTCTTTTTACCCTTCG